TGGATTCTGCCATTCGTGAGAATGAGCTTGGAAGCAGTTTTCCCCAGGAGCTGTAGAAGAGATCTCAGCCTGGCTGTCACCTTGATTGCAACTTTGTGATACTCTGAGCAGAGAACCCAGCTACGCCATGTGCCACGCTAACCTCCAGAACTGTGAGCTAAGAAGTGGATGTTTTAAGCCACTAAATTTATGGTAATTAGTGATGCAGCGATAGAAAACTAATACAATAGTATAGACTTTTCCCAGGCTTGGCAAACTGATGAGGAGGGAAAAGAAAAACAGTGCCACTGAGTCAATGCCAACTCAGAGAGACCCTTTAGGACAGAGTAGAACTGCTCCAAGGCAAGTGTCCAAGTCTGTAAATCTTTACAGAAGCAGACTGCCTTATCGTTCTCCCACAGTGCAACTGGTGGGTTTGAACCACCATCCTTTTGGTTAACAGCCAAATGCTTTAACCACAAAGCCAGCAGAGCTCCCACTGATGACAAAGCGTGAGTTTAAATACCAGTTTAGTCACTTACTTGCCTATATGTTGGATAAGTCAGTTTCTTTTAATCATAAAATATGTACCATCGCACTAGCCCTTGCCTGATTGAATCACTCTTTGCAGATGGGCACAGGTGTGGCATGTATAGCTTTAAGTTCACCAGATGATGTCGATGTGCAGCCTCGCAGCATACCATCCCTCAGTTCTCACAAAAGTGTAGCTGTCACACATAAAGCCCATTTGTCCCTACTTACTCACCTTCTCCACAAGCACTTCCAACTAAGCCTTTCCAAAAATGAACTCATCTTTCCGTCTAAATGTGTTGATCTTACCACCACCTTCCATTAACGTTTCCCAAGCTGAAAAAATACCATCAGCCTGTCTCTACTGTCCACTGATATTCATACTCGTCATATTCATTCCATAAGGTCTCTGGAATCCCTTCACTTCTCTTCACCCTCACATCCTCTCCAGGTTCCTAACGAGTCTTTCTACCTCTGAATCGTTTTCCGGGTTGGAACCCCCAATCTGACTTAAAAACCCTTCTCTGGCTCCCAAGAGAGAACAGAAACCAAGACTTCTTTGTAAGGTATATAAAGCCTTCCACAGCTTGGGCTGTACCTCCCTGTGATGCTTAATGTCTCCTCAGCTGTAACCTCTAGCCATTTTGTCCAACCATCCCAACTCAGGGTGTTTCCCAACCTTCCTCTCCATCTTTGTCCATGCAGCGTTTTTGACACTGCCTTCTCCTTCAACCCTCCACTTCCAGCTTAGGTACATTCTAGTTCAAGACTTCTCTGACACATCCATGCAGCCCCTCCCTCTCCACCCCTGCAGATTAGTTACCCCTCTACAATGCTTATCATACGAGATTGCAACGGCCCATTTGTGATGGTTGGAGCTGTGTGTCAACTTGGCTGGACCACGATTCTGTGTGGTTTGAGCAATTGTGATGTGGGTTGTTCCCATGATGGGATCAGATGTTTATGTTTTGAGCAGCCAATCCATTGAGGGGGAATTTCCCTAGGGGTGTGGCCTGCTTCCAGTATATTTGTGGACATCCTGGGAAAAGAGACACTCTTTTTCTGTGGATCGGGATTCTTTTGTGCTGCCTACAACTGTCTGTGAGCAAACAATCCACCATTCGGCCTGGAGATCTTGGAATTGCCATTTGTTGGAGTCAACAGCCAGTACACTGCCTGCCAACCTTGAGCTCGTCAGCCCCTGCAGCTGCGTGAGTCGGGAAAAGCCTCCAGCTTTACGTTTGATCCAAGAACTTGGGACTTGCCAGCTTCTGAAGTACACACTTTCCTAAGATAAATCTCTCTCTCTCTCTCT